AAATAGATGGCGTCTTCCCTCTTGGGGCACCATCAAATCACCAGTTTTCTCTGTGCCTAAGAAAGCAGGTGTGATCCAGTTGGACTGACTGAAGTCCTTTGTCCTTCAGCAAAACACAGCTCTGGTCTTGAAATCCATTGTATTCACAACTTAACCACTTGCTAACCACATCACTTAGATTTATGACATCAAGGCAGCCTCTCTGCACTGGATCACGTACCAGGTACTAAAAAAAGCAATTCCGAATAGCACATGCTGACCATCAGATCCCAGCCAATGATTGACCACCAGGGCCTGCTGATCAGCTCACTGATTCACGAACGGAAACCTGTCATGGTACACAACAAAGAGCTCTGCATAGTAACAGGCTAAGCAGGGAAAAAAAAACAACAAGATCCATTAGTAAAAGCACCACATAATATGCACATCAACACTTGCTAGGCACACAGTTAACCACTTGATCATCCTTAGATGCTAACCCCTTTCCAGCCAGTGTCATTAGTACAGTACCAGTGTATAAGTTTAGCACTGATCACTGTATTAGTGTCACTGGTGATGTCAGTGTGAGGTTGCCAGTTCCCACAAAGCGTCAGATTGCCCACCGCATATGCACTTACTGGGATTTTTTTTTTAACCAAAGACATGTAGCAGAATACATTTTGTCCGAAATTTATGGAGACATTAGATTTTTTTTTTATTTTATTGGATATGTTTTATAGCAGAAAGTACAAAATACAGTTTTTTTTCAGAATTTTCGTTCTTTTTATATAATAAAAAATAAGGTTACAGCTAGAGTTGCATTCAACAGTAAGGCCCCTGGGCCTCTACCGTCAAAGGATCCCCACCAAAGACACACCTCCTTCTTCAGCAGACATCATCTCAGTTGGCTACGAGTACAGAGGTACTCACGTATATCACCCTTCTCTCACTGCTATGATTCTGGCAGGAGCAGGCTGAAATTGCTGACCAAAGAGGAGAGTAGTACATTAGTAATAATCTTCTGGTTATTGTAAATATATACACCTATAAGCCAGAACATTAAAATCAACAACAGGATTCGTGAATAACATTGATTATCTTGTTACAATGGCATCTAATGGCCAAGCATCTACAAGTCAGTGGATGAAAACAGAAAAAATGGGCATCGCAATTTGTTCTTTATGGAATTGCGTAGCTGCATACTGGTCAGGGTGCCCATATTGACCCTTGTCCACAGCCAAAAGTGCCTATAGTAGACACATGAGCACAGGGGCGGACGGACAACTCATGGGGCCCCCGGGCAATAGGGGATCATGGGGCCCCTGTGTCCTTGCCCAAACTCAAAAAAGCCTATGAAAAAGGTACCAGGGGCATCTCATGGGGCCCCCTACTAACCCCGGGCCCTCGGGAAGTGCCCGAGTTTCCAAATGGTCAGTCTGCCCCTGCATGAGCATCATAACTGGATCGCGCAGCAAGAGAAGAATGTGGCCTGGTCCGATGAATCATGTTTTTTTCACATGATGTAGATGGTTGTGTTCGTGTGCATTGCTTACATGGGAAAGAGATGGCACCAGGATGCACCATGAGAAGAAGGCAAGCAGTGTAATTCTTTGGGCAATGTTCAGCTGTGAAACCTTCATCCTGCTATTCATGCAAATGTTACTTGGCACATACCACCAACCTAAACTTTGTTGCTGAGTAGGTACACCCCTTCATGGAAATGATATTCCCTGATGGCAGTGGCCTCTTTCAGCAGGGTAATGTTCCCTGCCACAATGCAAAACATGGTTGAAGAATGGTTTGAGGAACACAAGAAAGAGTTTGGGGTGTTGTCCTCCAAATTCTCCAGATTTCAATCTCTTGAGCATCTGTGGGATGTGCTGGAAAAATAAGTCCAATCCATGGAGCCCCCACCTCACAACTTACAGGATTGAAAGGATCTGCTACTGACAACTTGGTGTCAGATACCACAGCATATCTTCAGCTGTCTAGTGGCATCCATGCTGTGATGGAACAGGTTGTTTTGGCAGGAAAAGGGGGACCTGCTCAATATTAGGTGGATCATAATAATGTTATGGCTGATCAGTGTCTCTCTCTCTCTCTCTCTCTCTCTCTCTCTCTATATATATATATATATATATATATATATATATATACTGTTGTTCTCATCCATCTACATTACCACACTGTACTGCTGTTCTCAGCTTTCTGCATTGCCCCTGTACTGATCCTATTCTGTACTGTACTTCCAATGCCTCTCTGTACTGTTGCTCTGCTCCTCTGCTTTATTTTCAGTTATCCTCATTACTGTTCTTGTAAGCCACCTCCAGTGCCTTTTTGTTCTTCTTTATTCACATCCAGTAAAGCTCTTCTCATCTGTGTCCATTGTGGGGTTGCCACCTGTCAGGGGTTCACTCAGAGAGTCTGGGTATTTAATCATGTTTCTGGGTTTCAATCCACCTAAAACCTGGACACATTATTTAGACCTGATGTCACGTACCTGATAGAAGTCTGAATTGAGGAGGTCAGGCTCTCTTGTATCTCCAGCCCAGTCCCTACTGAAGGTGGAACAGATGGTACCTAGGGACAGGAGAAACATGAGTGCCAGCGGATGTTGATTGCAGAACTTGCAGCTGGAGGTGTAACCTCAGTAAATCAAGCAGAGCATCCTGGTCAGGAACACTGGAGATGCAGGAATGACCAGATGAGGTTAAGGAAGCACTCCACTGGAACTGCAAGATCTGGGTGCGTGGCTTCCCGGAACTTCTAATAAGCGTGAGGCCAGAACACACCATGACAACTGGAGCTGATGTAATAGATAGCCAGGACAAGCACTCGGCAGGACTGTAGAGCCAAACTGGAGCTGGAAGCATAGTAGGAGTAATAGCCAGGGTCAGCAATGAGGAGGCAATGAAGTACCGGAACATCAGACAGGGATGTGGTCAGAAGGAAGCCAGGATCAGAAACCAATGAGCAGAAGCATAAACATGGATCCAAGAGCAGGTCAATGGCAACTGGAACAGTAAAGGATAACACACAGGATACAGCAGGACACAAGGAAATAGCTGAAAACCAGTAAGCACTGACAGAGAGTAAGAGCCGCCTTTAAATAGTCCTTCTAGCACCAGAAACTGTGGGCACGTTCCCCATTCTTTTGCGCATGAGTGAGTCTATGCTCATTTTTACTAGCAAATGATCCTGTGCTCATTTATATGCGCAATGTTGTGCACATGCGCATTTCTATGCGCCATTTGCCACACAGGAATTCCCTTACATTTGACCATGGGTGTATCTTCAGGGTCACTGCCCATGCTCTGGGGGCCTGTCCCTGTCATACCTGGACAGTAGGGGAGGCATTTACTAGAACCATTCACCTGCATTTTCATATCTGCAGCTGCTGAAAATGGTCTTCTACCACTCCCCCTCCCACCAGCATTCAGCTGCTGCAGGTGAAAAAACACATCAGATTAGTTCTAGTAAATGCCACCCCTCCTGTCTAGCTTCCTCTTCCTTCTGCTGCCTCCAGGCCCCTGTGTGCTCCCTGGAACCCCCCTCGCCCCATAGCGTCATCAAAGCCTCCCGAAAAAGGCTGTTAAAACATTGTAAAAAATAATTTAAAAAAAAAATAATAATAAAATAAAAAAAATGAAAAAAAAACTATTGACACCAATCTCTCCCTTACTGACACCATCCACTGCTCTACTGATGCCGTTCGCTGTTCTACTTACTGACACCATCCACTGTCCTACTGACACCAACCTCTGCCTTACTAACATTCCCACTGCTCTACTGACACTATCCACTGTTTTATTTAACCATGTCCCTTAAAGCCCCTCCCACTGTTAACCTGATTAGACCACACCTAATGTTCACTGCAGCATGAGCAGCGCACCACATTATTTCTCTCTTTGGGTCTCCCAAAGGTGTTCCAGGTCTTAATACAATCCTATAGTGCATACCACAAAGAAATTGCTATGTGCCACTAAAGTGTTCAAAGAAAAACCTAGTCCAGTGACCCCACCTTTTTTTGTCTCCAGTTCACAATCTTTCTGTACTGTACTTATATTGCCACAACTGTCAGTACTGCCACATGTGCTCATGTATTACTAAAGTGTAGTGCTACAGTGCCATCTGTCTATATAAACACAAGACAGTGCTCTTGAAGGTAATAAATAGGACATCTTACAGCATAAATGTTTCTTTTTTTATCTACATTTTTATCAACATTTTTATCTACGGTAACACTAGTTATTTTCCAATTAACAATGGCCAAATTAGAATGTAAAATGTCAGTACTTTGCATTAAAAATAAAAGCATTTTTGCAATACAGTGTTTCCAAATTAAAATCTTGCTTCTCCTGAAGAAAATATCACTCCACAAAACGAAGTATTGATAACGCTAATGATTAGTACAGCCATATCTGTTTGGCTGTACTTCTCTTTAGTAACAGGACTGTATTTACTATTATATTCCTGTGATCCAGAGTCAGCAGATGTGGACGGAGCCATGCCAGGCTCTGAAGGAATCCCAACAAAATTATTGGGATCCACCTGGCTGCCTATAAGACATAGCTCTGCCTATAAGCGCATGGCTAAGAGCTAGAGCACCTGCCTGCTCTCCAGCGAGGAGCTCCAGTGGTCGCTGGATGAGCAAAGTGGAGAGTGGTGACTGACAGCAGACCAAAAGCTCACTGTCAGCGGTCATGTGACTGCACAGCTCTCGATCTTAGAGCTGGCGTGTGATAACTACAGCGTCACAGTGATGCTTCAGCATGGAGTATGCATGTTTATTTTTTGCATATCACAAACTTCTCCTTGAAAGGATAAGTTCACCTTTAACCACTAGCCTACAGGGCACTTATACCCCCTTCCTGCCCAGGCCAATTTCCAGCTTTCAGCGCTGTCACACTTTGAATGACAATTGCGCGGTCATGCAACACTGTACCCATATGACATTTTTATAATTTTTTTTGTGACAGATAGAGCTTCATTTTGGTGGTATTTAATCACCTTGGGGTTTTTTATTTTTTCTTAAACAAACCAACAACCACTGAAAATTTTGAAGAAAAAAAAACTTTTCTTAGTTTTTGTTATAACATTTTGTAAATAAGTGATTTTCTCCTTCCCTGATGTGCACTAATGAGGCTGCAGTGATGGGCACTGATAGGCTGCACTGATGGACACTGGTAGGTGGCACTGATAGGCGCTGATGAGGAGGCACTGGTAGGTGGCACTGATGGGTATTGACAGGCGGCACTGACTGGCACTGTTAGGGGACACTGAAAGGCACTGATAGGTGGCACTGAAAGATACTGATAGACGACACTGATGCATACTGATAGGCTGCACTGACTGGCACTGATTGGCAGCACTGATAGGTGGCACTGATTGGCATTGATAGGTGGCACTGAAAGGCAGCTCAGATGGGCACTGATATGTGTCATTGATGTGCACTGGTAGGCACTGATATGTGGCACTGATGGGCACTGGCACAAGGCACTGATGAGCACTGGCACAAGGCACTGATAGACACTGACAGGTGGCACTGCTGGGGCTACACTGATCATCAGGGCACACTGATCATCAGTGCCCTGATGATCTGTGTAGATGCCCCCTCAGCGGAAAGCCGATTACCGGCTCTCCTCACCTCTTGAGCTGTCAGCGTGACAGCTCGAGAGGAGCGAAATGCCGATAACCGGCATTTCCCTGTTTACATGTGATCAGCTGTGATTGGACACAGCTGATCACATGACTGAGCCGACATCTTCGGCTCTTTCCGTGGATCGGTGATCCGCTGTGTCCCGAGACCACCAATCGCCACGCTGAGCGCTCCCTGAGCCGCGCATGTGCCGTGAGAATGGGAGGACGTCATATGACGTCCTCCCAGAACGAGAGAACCACCTTGCATCCGTCATATTACTGTATGGCAGGCGGGAGGTGGTTAAAGAAAAAATAATAAATGCACCGATATTTTTCAGGAAAAATGTGCATTTTTAAATTTTTTATCACACGAGCCTGGAAAGCATTTCATCTACGATCAAACTGGAGGAAGTGTCTGTAGCACCCTCCTAGTTAGTTAGAGGGAGCTAGAATCTATTTGTCAGAGAGGAGGGCTGAGTAGCAGCCTGGGTGTGATATTCAGGAAGTTAAATTTGGGTCAGGGTTGGGAGGCTCTGCAGGCCAGCCCTTCTGGAATTTCCCCCTGCTCTACAGCTTTGGAGGAAGGTCTAGAGGCAGTGGGTGAATCTGAGGATTGGCTGAATTGTACTCTTGAGGGACCCTGGCCAATCCTAAACAGCAGACTTGGAAAGGGGCCAGAACAACCCTTAAGGGTAAGAGAGCCTGCTCAGAGGCAGGAGGGGGAGAAGGGAGGAGATGGACAAAAAAGATTGAGGTGCAGGAGCCTGGGAGGGAGCCCAGGCTGGAAGAGGTTTGCCTCTAGGAGTGATGCTGGAAAGGAGGAAAGCTGTGACTTCACTTCACTGGGCCCCTGAGGGAGGACCATCAGGCAGCACGGAAGGAGTGGCCCAGCTTAAAGGCCTGTTAGTAGCTGCTAACCCAACAGCAGCACAGGAGAAAGACTCAGTGAGTACACCTACACCCCCTGGGCCAGAAAAGGGGAGAGAGCATTTGGGTGGGAAACCTAACTCGCTCTGCTGGGACTATTGCCCTTCTAGTAGCAACTACTGGATCCCCTGTCCAGGGATTCTTCCATACAGCCGTATTGAGGAGTATTTTGGGTTGGAGAGGTACTTTGGGAGATCCTGGCTAGCTCTCTAGAAGAAGATTTTTGTGCATAGGACTTATAATATAGTTTCAGGAAGTTTGTCCTCAGTTGCTGTTCACTTGGGCATCCCATATACCCTTTACTCTATCCAAGTTTCAAACCCCTAATAAAACTTCAATGAAATAGGTGGCATTTATTCACCACTGAGTTTTTTTATTTTAACTAAATAAGGGGAAAATATTGAAATTATAAAAAAAAAAGTTTCCCAGTTTCTGTTCACCAACCAGAAAGTACAGGAGACTGTATAAAGGGTGAACAAAAGAGTTCCTATGATTCAAGGAGTGCAGTTGTCTGCAGGGAATAGCTGGGACAAATATCTTGCAGGAACATAGTCAATGGGATGTACAGTTGGGTTAGTTTAGATGGCAGGGACATGGTCAGTAAACAGACAAAGGTCTGGTCCAGGTAGCTGACAGAAATGTGGTCAATAAACAGATAAGGATCAGTACAAGTGACAGACAGTGGCAATACTGCATGTACTAGAATATAAACAAACAGTAAGGCGCTAAAGGTGCAAATAAATGAATATGTAGTCACAAGCCACTCAATATTGTGTGGTCCGGATGTTCATAAACATATGCACACACATAAATATATCATCAGTGTGAGGTGAAGCACACAAATATAAGGATCTCATGCATTAAAGTGACACAAACATAACTTTGTGAATAGTGTCCATGTGTGTCAAACAGATTCCATGCAGATGTGAACTGCAATGTGCCAATCCTCTATAGCTGGGGTGCCCCCTCACCTTCCTGCCCAGGCCCCTAAGGACCAATGAGCCTTGGGTAATGCAATGGGTGTCCCTCCGGATGGAAGATGGATCCCTCCGACAGTAATGGTGGAACTCCCTCCTCTTGGTTATATCATGAATTGTAGATGGTACCGGTATATAACTCTCCAGTATATGGCTCTCCAGAACGATCACCAGTAAGGCAAGAGAGACTCATATAGTGTAAAACCTTTTTATTAATAACAAATAAAACGAAATCCTACTTACACAATGCTGCAAACAAACAGGCCTTCACACCACTCAAAGGGTGTACTGTATGTCGGAAAACGGAGCACCAAGATGGCGCCCGCGCCGGATATGACGTCAAGCCGTTGATCGTCAAAAGCTCCTCCCACTAGTGTATCTACATGTTACGTCACTAAGACATGTGACTTCTTCAGGATAACATGTAATTGTGTTTTGGAATACTCTTGCTGGATGGACCGGCTCTGATGACACTGTATTGAAGTGCTGGTAATCAAGGACACTGCTTGTTTACACAGTACTGATGTGTCAGCAATCAGGGACACTGTGGATGGCCGCAATGACCCTGAGACACTGGTACTGGTGTGGCTAGAATCAGGAACATGTTTGTTGTTTTCACTGGTCTGGTGATACTGTTCCTGGTGTGGCAGGAATCAGTAACACTGTTTTTGGCTGCACTGGTTTGGTGAGACTGGGAATGGTGTGGGAGCAATCAGGAACTCTCTTGCTGACTGCACCAATCTGGGTGACTGGCACTGGTGTGGTGGTGATCAGGAACACTTGTGTGCTTACAGTGGTCTGGTGACAGTGGGATTTGTTTGGCAGTGATTAAGAACACTCTCGCTGGTTGCACTTGTCTGGTGACACTGGGGTTGGTATGGTAGCAATCAGAAACACTGTTGTTGGTTTACACTGGTCTGGTGACACTGAGACTGGTGTGTCTATAGATCAAGAACATTGTTGATGGCTTACATTGGTCTAGTAACACTGGAACTGGTGTTGCAGTGATCAGGAACTCTGTTGCTGCCTTGAACTGGCCTGGTGACACTGGGACTGCTGTAATGATGATCAAGAAAACTCTTGCTGTCCTACAGTGGTCTGATGACAGTGGGATTTGTGTCACGGCGATTAGGAACATTCTTGCTGGCTGCACTTGTCTGGTGACACTAAAACTGTTATGGTGGCAATCAGGAACACTGTTGCTAGCTTACATTGGTCTGCTGACACTAGGACAGGTGTGGCTATTGATCAGGAACATTGTGGCTGGCTTACACTGGTCTAATGACACTGGAATTAGTGTGGTGTTGATCAGGAGCACTGTTGCTGGCTGCACTGGTCTGGTGTGGCGGCAATCAGGAACACAGTTGTTGGCTTACACTAATCTGGTGACACTTCAACTGGTGTGGTGGTAATCATGAACATTGTTGCTGGATGCACTGATCTGGTGACACTGGGACTGGTGTGGCAGTGATCAGGAACACTGTTGTTGGCTTATACTGGCCTGGTGACACTGGAAATGGTGTAGTGGCAATTAAGAACACTGTTTATGGCCTACAGTGGTCTGGTGACACTGAGAATTGTGTGATGGTAATCAGAAACACTCTTGCTGGCTGCACTGGTCTGGTGGCACTGAAATTGTTATGATGGAAATCAGAAAAAACTGTTACTGACTTTCAATGGTCTGGTGACTCTGGGACTGCTGTGGCTAGTGTTCAGGAATAGTGTAGTTGGCTTACACTGGTCTGATGACACTGGAACTGGCGTGGCAGTGATCAGGAACACTGTGCTTGACTGCACTGGTATGGTGACAATCAGGGACACTGTTGCTGGCTGCACTGCTCTGCTGACATTGTACTGGGGGTGACAGTGACAAGGAACACTGTGGTCGG